CAGATGTGTAGTGTGCCTGCAAAACTTTGAACTTGGTTGCAGGATAAGTCATTTAAATCTTCGCTTTCATTCATTATTTTTCCTTTTCTTGCTGCTCTCAATGAGAGCTTTTCATTATTGGCGTATCGATCTACCGATTTATCTTGAACTGTCTTAGTCTCTGGACTTATACAAGACACTTAAGATCTATTACTAGAGTTTAGAATCAAGTAGACGCTGAAGTTTGAATACCTGGGAAGCGTCTTGAGGGATTATGGTAAGTGCGGCACTGAGATCCGTAGACGTATTGGGATAGCCAAGGATATATTCCAAAAGCTGGGCAGAGTATTGCGAGACAGGAAGATTTATTGGTAACAAAGGAAATAATACTGGGCTGCTACATGACATCTGTCCTTCTTTATGGCAGCGAATGTTGGACGATTTCCTCAAAGATGAAGAAGAGACTCGAAGCGACAGAGATGTAGTTCTACAGAAGGATGCTAAGTATATCATGGACCGAGCGTGTAAGCAACGATGAGGTCTTAGAGAGATTGCAAACAAGGAGGAGGCTTATACTTAATATCAGGAAGAGGCAGATGGAGTTTCTGGAACACATAATTAGGAAGAAGGGTCTGGAGAATCTGATACTCACGGGTCGAATAGAGGGGGGGAGGACAAGGGAAAGCAGTGCGTGACATACCTGGCGAGCTAGAGCAGGTGGATGACAGAACGTGGTCGGGGAAAGCAGAGGGAAGGAGCTTGTTGAGAGCTGCAAAGGATAGAGGAAGGTGAAGATCGCCTACGTTCTGAAAGGACATGGCACATAAAAAGAAAGAAAATATATCTAGTTCGTATGTTCTTTTCCTCTCTTTCTTTCTTTCTTTCTTTCTTTCTTTCTTTTCCTATTTTCTCCGGATTTTATCAGCCATCCGAAAAGTCTTCAAAAAGTCATGTGCTAAAACTGTTTTAATCCATTAACTGTTAAGTATTAATTGTAAGCTAATATAAGTTTTGCTGATTTCTTACGAAAGATAAGAAAAGAAAAGGTGAAAAAAACAAAACAAAACAAAAAACCCAAAACAAAAAACAAAACAACATTAACTATAGGATTTAAATATCCGGTATTAATTACAGATAAATAAAATATCTGTATTAATTATAATTTTCTAATAAGTGTCCAAATTTTGCGACAGTAACAAATAATGTCTATGGAGTTTTCGCCTCATCACATACCAAACTTCTTTACATTTTTGTCTGAGAGAAAATGTTGGAAATATTCTGATTAAAAGAAAAAAAAATCATTTGAAGCGTAATATCAACTCTCCTATATGGCAGTGCATGCTGGATAATTCTCTCATAGGTAAAGAGGAGACCTGAGGCAAATGAAGTGTTGTTCTAGGCAAGGATGTTGAGAATATCATGGACATGAGGATTATTAGCAACGAGAAGGTTTTGAGGAAAATGGAAACTAAAAATACCCTCATACTTAGAATCAGAGAGAAGCAGCTGGCACATGTTGAGGAAAGGAGGCTTGGAGAATTTGACACTGACAAGACAGATTGAAAGTAAGCGGAACGGAGAGAAGGGTCAAGAAACATGACTAACGAACTTGTATAAATTTGTGACAGAACAAATACTGGGATGGATAGAAGGAAACAGTCATTACTTTAAACTACAAAGATTAGGAAGGTGTAGAGAGCCATAGCCGCCCACATCTTTAAAGAAAACTGTATATAACAGAGCAAGATTTTGTTCTCTACGAACGAAACTTTATATGAAAACTGAAAATATTGTTTTTCTACATTTTTTTTATTGTTTCACATAAACAGAACAATCACCAATTTGAATCCAACTATTTCATTTCGGTTGTGTCCCAATTAATCGGAATAATATGGATATATGTATCTCACCATATTTTTTGTTTTCATATAGATATGTTTATACGTGTGCGTAGATACATAGATATGCGTTTCCATAAATACTATTAGCCTTGACATATTGTTACGTCGGGATATATGTAGGTCGGTTGGGTGATAAGAATGGATATAGGTACAGTTTCGTAAACTGATTTGACTCATTACTTAAACTGGCAGGTTCGTATTTCTATGTCCGGTTCGGTCGTTACGTCGATCAGAGAACACATTAACGAGTTGCAGTGTCGCCACTTGGCGTACCTAAAGTATAAACAGCATTCTTTAATGGCTACTGCCAATTCGAAAACGAGGCTAGATGCCGGAAGTGAGTTAATTATATGAGTCAAGTAATTTATCTTCCTCTATTGCTCGCTTTCATTCATTATTTTCCCTTTTCTTACTGTTCTCAATGTGAGCTTTTCATTATTGGCGTATCTATCTACCGATTTATCTTAAACTGTTTTTGTCTCTGGACTTATGTTAGTCACTAAAACTCTATTGAGTTTGTATGTACTTTTTCTTTCTTTCTTTCTTTCATTCTTTCTTTCTTTCTTTCTTTCTTTCTTTCTTTCTTTCTTTCTTTCTTTCTTTCTGTCTATTTCAATCTATTCATATCGCTCTTTATAGTTATCTAAATCTATGGATATCCGCTTCCGTTCATATATCTCTCTCTCTCTCTCTCTCTCTCTCTATATATATATATATATATATATATATATATATATGTGTGTGTGTGTGTGTGTGTGTGTGTGTGTGTGTGTATCACTCTATTTATTTCTGTTTCTCTTAATATCTCAGCCTTTCATATCTATATTTCTATCACGCGATTTATTTACCTAAACCTATTCGTATGTATGTACGTATGTATGTGCCAATATTAGTCTATTAATATCTCTTAATATTTATCTAAGTCTATTCAAATCTGCTTCTGTTCATATTCTATCTATCTATCTATCTATCTATCTATCTATCTATCTATCTATCTATCTATCTATCTATCGCAGCCTGTTAATATCTATCTATCTATTGCAGCCTATTAGTAGCTATCTATCTATCTATCTATCTATCTATCTATCTATCTATCTATCTATCGCAGCCTGTTAATATCTTTCTATCTATTGCAGCCTATTAGTATCTATCTATCTATCTATCTATCTATCTATCTATCTATCTATCTATCTATCTATCGCAGCCTGTTAATATCTATCTATCTATCGCAGCCTGTTAATATCTATGTATCTATTTCAGCCTATTAGTATCTATCTATCTATCTATCTATCTATCTATCTATCTATCGCAGCCTGTTAATATCTTTCTATCTATTGCAGCCTATTAGTATCTATCTATCTATCTATCTATCTATCTATCTATCTATCGTAGCCTGTTAATATCTATCTATCTATCTATCGCAGCCTGTTAATATCTATCTATCTATCTATCTATCTATCTATCTATCTATCTATCTATCTATCGCAGCCTGTTAATATCTATCTAGCTATCGCAGCCTGTTAATATCTATCTATCTATCTATCTATCTATCTATCTATCTATCTATCTTCATATTTATCTCAGGTCTTTTCATATCATTTTTCTTCCTTTGAATACTTGGCTACTTGCGAAGAAGAAAACTGGTTCGACACATCTTTGATTATCAGACGAGCATACTGGTTTCCAGTTTGTTTTTATTCATATTGAGAAACGACTAAATTTGATTTCTTCTCTACAGGGCTAAAGTAAAAATGCCCATTAATGTTGTATGAGTTTTTTTTTTATTTCTTTTTTATTTTAAAGATAGTTTTACTTGATAAACAGAAAAACACTTTTTACTTCATCCAATAATATTATGTTACAAAATCCTTTTTATTCCCCGTGATTATAACCATTACTTCACTAATCAAAGTCAGTTCGAAAAAGTATCGAGCCATTTAATATTAACGATTTAAAATTCGACCTTACCTTATACACTCATGTATTAGTCTAAAGTGTGAAAAACAATAATCGCTTGGCGAAATATTAGAATATTTCTTCTATGTGGGTCGTTTTACGTGGCTAGAAACCGGAAGTGAGTTAATTATATGAGTCGAATGATTTATCTTCCTTCATCGCTTGTTTTCATTTATTTTTCCGCATCTTTCGTTGAGCCTATTCATTATTGGAACATCGAGCTGCCGTTTGTCAGTTTATTCAAAGAGTTCTACTGGTACACCATAACCAAATACTATACGTACCGTATGGTCGGGTAAATCGGTGACTAAAATGGTCCCCAAACCCATCAGGTTTCTCTGGTGAAGTCAGTGAATAGAAACTCAGCAGAACAAAGAAATGTCTTGTAAAACTGTGGCTTTAATAAAAACAGTTAAAATTATATATATATATATATATATAGTTAAACCTAGAGAGCCAGACAAACCTACGAAGGTTTCACCTAAGTGGATCACCCGTACATATATATATATATATATATATATATATATATATATATATATATATATATATATATATATATATACGAGTGTAAAACTGCATATTATGGATGGATAATAAGGGTCAAAATATTCCTTAGCAATGATAGGAAGTTGTGGAAAACTAGTAGGGTCACCAAACGAAAAAAATATATATGTATGTATTGCGTATTTAGGCAGACATCCTTCTTTATACATAAGCTTTTTTAATTAACTTTTCTTGTATTCGAAAAAGTCTTTTCTATTCTGGACACAGTGTGCGTAGAAACTACCCAGATGTCCTGTAATTCTGAGCGCTTTCGTCTATACTTTTAGCCATTATCAAGGAAGATCTTATTTTTGTTTATTTATTCAATTACTTTTTAACTGGAGGTATGTATGGTGTGTATGTATCTAGAGTTATAGGGTTGTTTTATTTTCCGAAAAAAAAAAAAAAAGATTAATCGCAGTACCTTGTCCGATGACACACACATACATATATATATATATATATATATATATATATATATATATATATGTACGAGGTTTGATCAGAAAGAATTGTGACTGTCCCTATGGTAACTGAATTAAAGTTCTCGCTCGCTTCTCTTTACAGCAGTGCTCGATAGTAAATTGTGTAGAGTGTGGTCGTCTCACCACACCATAGAGGTTCCTTCAGTGATCATGCCTTGTGCAACAGTTTTTGGCCAAGAAGAAATTTACCCGCGTCCGACAGCCATCATATTCCCCAGATGCGTCTTTTTCCTCTATCAAAATTTCAAATTCCACTTGAAAGGAACGAGATATAAGATGTCGAAAAAATCCAAAAGTATGCTTGTGACAGCCGCTCGCTAACTCCCAAAAAGAGTTTTTAGAAATGCTTATATGCTTGGAAACGACGTTGGAAAATGTGTGGCTTCAGAAGCGGATTACTTCGAAGGAGATTAAATGCCGAATTAATATATATTGCATGTTTCTTTGTATACCACCAGTCCCGATAACATTTGGTCAAATCACGCACATAAGCACATTGTATCAGGTTACTTTACGGGTGTTATTAGTACCAGGTAGCCTTTTACCACCTGCCGTTTCCTCCACTAGGTCTTTCTCATGAGAACGATGTCTAAACCACCAGCAAACTTAAAACAAGGTCTCACAAAAGGGCTGATCATTCTTCTTGTAGGGTCAAAGCTTTTCTATTCCTGTGGATTAGACTGTGATCTATACCTGAATATGAAGTTAGTGCGGTGGTAACATGGCATTAGATGGTGAAGAGCTTCCTAGACTGAAGTCATTGACCAAGGAGGAGAAAGTTACCCTTATTCAATCAACGGCCACGTCTCTTTGACCAAGGTCTTGGTGGTTTGCCTTGGAGACTCCGCCAGATCTACTTAGCGAAGACACGCTACGTATAAATCGATACCTTTCCAACTTTCCCTCGAAATATGTGCAGGGAAGTGGTCCGATGCTCAGTGACTCTACGAGCACACTCAGTAATGGTGTTGATGACGATGAAAAAGGCGGATGATCCCTCTTGTCGGATCAACATCCTTTTAGCACACAAATTTCTTGACACACTGCCTTGTGGGCACATTGTCTTGTTGGCGTACTTGACTAGCCAAAAACCAAGGGAGATAACTCCAAACAAATCCGTTTTGCAACTACATGAAGGATAACCCAATCTCATATGACTTTCATGGTGCTGCATCAGAAACAACTGTTTGAATTCACAGACTATCCATGTCATTGGTGTCATTATTCGTTGAAGATAATTCTACCGGTTCTCTGGGATCCCCTCAGCATCCTAATCCCTTATTTTGGGCAGGTTTCAAAATTGATTAGATTTGCTAATCGACTCCTTTGAGTTCGAACTTAGAAGTCATATGAGCGATCATTTGCAACTTGTTTGCCAAGCCTAAAAGTTCCATTACCAAAATTCAGACCAACGATCATGAAATGTAGACGTCTTTGTCAATAACGAGAAAATACTGAAATCTATTCAATTATTTTTTTCTTTTCTGACTTTCATTCGTCGATTAATGAGCTCTCTGTCAATCGATGCCATTCATAGGCGTAGTAGAATGAGACTTTCATTTGCTATAAAAATCGATTAAAGGTAAAACGGTTTTGAAATATGAATAAAAAAAATGCGAAATAGTAAGTCGCAGATATTTTGTCAAATAGAAGGAAAGACTGCGTTCTATAGGCTTGGCTGTCAACCATTCTAAAGATGGTGAATCGATACACTCATCCATTTCCCATTGGTCCAACAGTATCGGCCAATGAAAACGCATCGGCCCTGAAATTCTTCAGCCCTGTGTGTTACGCATTCTACCGAAAGCAGAGTAGGCATCCGTTTAACTCGCAAGATAAAAGTAACGCCCTCTTTAGTCAAAAAGCAGTACTTTGGTGTGACCTCTCCAGGACGCATGCCTGGGCGATGGCATATGGAGGTCGCGCGCTGCCCAGCCTACATGCTCTTCCCCTATAGGCCGTACCGACAAGATCCAAAGGAATACAGAGCATTACTTTTGCGGAAGGCGGGGCTACAGTAGATGCCAGAAAGTTATCAGTATTGAAAGCCAAACGCCTCCGAGACTCAACTCTGGGTTTTCTTTCTGGATTTACTTCCATAGACTCTTATTTGGATATGACCACAAGGCAGCGGGGATTTAAAATTAGGCTTTTCCTTCCTCTAGATGGACTACCTTCCTTGGTTGTCGTGCTTCATCTACCTGAAGCAGCTGGTTATAAGGCGCCAGTTTACCGCCTTCGACCATTGTTTGGCTTGAAGCGGATAAATCTTTTATATAAAGTAAGAAGCAAAGCCATAATACCGCTAATATGAAATTACCATTTTAAAGATAGTTCAATTGAATTCTTCGTTTACGAGCAAACGATCAGTAACTTTACCGTAAAAGTAGGCTGATTCAGCGCGCTACGTTCATTCAATAATCAGGAGTTCTTAGCATAGATTAACTTGTACAATCTACTATGGCTGTCCGTATACAGCCATGTTGAATAAATTATGAACATGTTGGAAACTTGGAAAGCAATCAAAGAGAAACTTACTGCGCATGCATAGACACGCACACAGACAGATACACACACTATTAGGATGACTCAACCGGCAAGTGAGATATGATCGAGTGATGTGTAGTGCATGACTTTTGCGTTCAATGAAAATGCGACTGTTTATTCTTTATGTCTCGTGTCGGGTTCTTTAGCAAGACATCGTATCATTCGGACCAGACTGTCCAAAAAAAGTTTGGCTCCAAGAGATCTCGAACGATGGACGAGATTAAATAGAATGAGACTTTGCAGACTGTTTTGGAAAGTGAAAGGGACGCAGGTTTTTAAGATACCAAGGCGAGTGATTTAAGAGAGATTAAAGGATAATTCTAAGGCTTATCCCGAAAAAATATGCCTGGCTAATTAAACAACACGTGTATGATGTGTAAAAAACACATAATTCTCATTAATTTAACAACACAATACAACGTGACATTAGAAATATTATCTGATTATCTGAAGTTACCATCTCTATCTATAAAAGGCAGGATGTGTGTGTGTGTGTGTGTGTAACGAATGCACGGCCGCAGTTTTTGACAGTTTTTGACAGATTTGCACCAAAATTTACATGCACATGCTCAAAGTTAGTGGAAAGGCCCAAACCGACTTCCCAACTCCCATCGATAGTGGAAATAATCGATTACTTCATGCTTCTACGGCAGTTTTCATGTAGTTTGCGGCCATTTTCTACTGGCCAGAGTGAGAGCGAATAGGCAGGAAGATTTTATTGGCCAGCGTGAGAGCCAACAGCTGACTGACACGAATGTTAACTAGCACGATTCCGATTCCGCAGAACTGGGTTGGGTGTGGAAAAGTATTTGTTGTTAACATTCTTTTTTCATTCGGTTTTTCCAGTTACGAGTCCTTTTTTAAAGCTGATCGTTTTGTGTTCATTTTGTTTAGTTCTTTTTTCGTAACAGATTTAATGTTTAGTATAGATCTTAGAAAAAGTTCGCAGTGTGAGATAGGCA